TGTCTCAGCCTAAGATGATCGACTAGGCTGGACATTAAGGCTGACAGACGTAAGGCTCAGAAACCTGGTGAGTGCTTTGCCTCATACGTCAACTAGCAATTCTCAAACTAGTTTAAGGTTCAAAAGAACAACCGAAAAGATGACCAAAAAACATTCTAGAAAGTTCTAGGTCCTCTCTTTGTGCAATTTGTAACATTCAGGCTCAATAAACAACTTAACATGTCCTCAACCAAAAACCCAGCCACTACGAAGAGGACAGTGTAGTAAACCCCTTAAAGTAACTGTGAGATGAACAAGGAAACAGGAAACTGTTGAGTGCAAACAGTCTTTGAGGCCAAACACATGGCCCTAGAAGAGAGGCAACCATCTATCCAAATGAGCAGCACAAGCCTGATGGCACTCATCTCTTCCGAAGTCTCCGAAAACCTTAAGCTATCCTCTCCAACTTGCACACATAGAATTATGGTATTTCTGCCACTTTTGGACACACGGATGACATCTGGCCTCAACTGGAGACTCTGCAGGTTCTACAGGATGGACCCAGACAGGAGAGGGAAAAGCACCCTTGAAAAAGCAAAGAAAGGGGAAACCCTGTTAGGGGAACAACCTGGCACAAAAAAACCCAAAGCAAAACTTGAAGCAGTCCTACTACATGTGGTCCGCTGTGGAACAAGCCCCCATGAGGCATGGCCACCCCCTTTCTGCATGTTGTTCATCTCCCCAGCTGTTCTCTGCACAATGGTGTACAACTACTGACTTTGTTGAAACAGTTTCTCACTGTTCTGTAACTAGCATTTTAAAAACATCTCGTTCAAAAGCACTGGTTTCTTTGGTGATTTATGCATTGAAGCACACCTTAAATGGTACCATAAGACACAGCACAGAAATGTTTTCTTCACCAGCCAGATCCTTGCTCCATACAAACAGAATTTGTTGAAACTTGGAAGCACAAATAAAGTGCCCTGAACTTTAGCACTGAATATACAGTAACCCATTTGCGTTTGGGAGGGTTAGGGGTGGCGGATTCCGGCGAATGTGAAAATTCATAAATAATACTTGCGTACCCCTAACCTCAACCCATAACAGGCCACTAGCCTGACCGATAACAAAAAAGTCTATTTATTACCAATTTCTAAACAAACAGTAATGTACTATACACTTTGCATGTCAAATTGCTTTGTCATTAGCTATCGCATTGGGAGCACTTATTAAAACCATTATTAAAAATGCAAAAATTAATGGCACTGAAAAGTTAAAAAGTTTTTGTGAGAAATGCAAGATTCCATGGTCACAATTGCAGGTAACACGTGATTGAGGCTGGTTGCCTAGACAAACATACCCAAGCAAAGACTTTTAATATTAAAGATGTAGTATGCACTTAAAGATATAGTATGCACTTGCACTAGCAAATATTATGTTTCACTAATATTTAGGGATGCATCGATCCCACTTTTTCTGTCCCGATTAAGATACCGATACCTGAGCTTTGGGTATCGGCCAATTGGACCAATCTGATACCAGAGTTTAATTAATGGGCTGTATGCTTTGCCTCACTGAGTGGAACAGACTGTGATCATTCTTTTAAGGCAACATCAGGCTTAACTTAGCGCTTTCCTAGCTTTGTAAAACAAAATGTAACGTATATAACATTTCAGTATAATTAGCCTATATATACAGTGGAAACCGGTTATATGTATGTCTGGGTGATCATTAGCCAGATGATCATTATAACCATTTTTTTTCTTTTTCCTTATGTCTCAGGCAGATTACCACCTAATTAACATTTGTATATTTATTACATGGTTATACGGTAATAAACCAGATAGTCGATATTTACTTTTATTGACTCTTTCAAAAGAATGAGTCTATATTTGACATTGAGAGAAAATGACTCAGACTCTGAGAACTGTGATTGGTCCACTTTTTTTATATATAGGAGCAAAGAAAGCGTACACCTAGGTGTACTTTTATAGGTAATTGATATTTAGGTATCGGTTCTTGGTATCGGACAATTTTTATGAGTACGAGTATGAGTATATGAACACAGTATCGGCCCGATACCCAATGCTGGTATTGGTATCAGAGCATCCCTAATAATATTTATATAATATTTAATATTTATATATAAATATATTTATATATTATGATTTTATGTAATCAAAATCATTGTTAGTGTTGTTTTTGGTTTACTTGTCATCTGTGAGTTTCTGAGATCTTTAGGCAAGGTCCAAAAATATTCCCATTTAATTGTTCACGACCAGTTCATGAATAACCGAAACCACGAATGTCATTTAAAACATCTGGACGAGCGACTGAATTTTCTGTTAATGCTGGAATGCTGACAGATAGCTTAAGAAGATCCCAGGCTAGGAACACCAGCATGTCAGGGGGTAATCCAGTATCTGTGTTTGCTGCGACGTGACCAGCATAGGCTTGTCATTATCAACTGGCCAGTTCCACTATGGTTTGTCAATTCCACTTCATCCGATGGGCGGCTAACAGTAGTAACCTTTTACGACCTGCTTGATGAAAGCACCTGGGCTAACCTTAATTCTGATGCTAACTAATGATACCATTTCCATCCTCAGCAAAATTCACGATATAAAATTCAGCGTGAAAAGTGTTAACTGTGACCAGCTTGCCTTTCACACTTATACCCTTGTTCCGTTCAGCTGGACTAGTCATTATCCCGCAAACAACGCTGTGGAGAACTGTTGGCACGGCAACGAACTGTGACCCCAATGAAAGTTGATCACTCACGTCCCCTGTGTGAAATCACCTTCTATTCCTTCCATTCCACTTTTCCTCAGAGTGCAGTGTTTGTCAGTGAAACAAATCCACATCCCTTGTTGCAATTAATTTGATTCCTGTGTTTTGGTGGGCCTCACTTTAAAGGTTTTAATTAAGCCTTTCACAAGCTCGGCACACTCTTTTAAAAGTTGGGTGTTAAACGGCCTCTTTTTGCCTTCTTTGATGAAAAGAGCCTGAAGATTCTGTCGAAAGGAGAGTAGGGGGGTCCCCTGCATTCTCAGAAGAGTCACCTACTCATGTTTTATTCAGCAGTTGAAGGTCCACCGAAAATTATCTGGGAAAGTAATGAGAAACCTTCTGTAGCCTGAAGGATCATTCATCCATCTCTCAAGCTTCTCGCCAGGACAGGGTCCCAGCAAGCGTGAGGCCTGACCCAGGCACCACTGGACACAAAGCTGAGGGACGCGCCAGTCCATCGTAAGGCGCACAGCTAAGGACTCCAAATAGCCTCTTTTTACAACAAGTGGAAACCAGAACACTTTGGGGGAAACCTGCAGAAAACAGGGAGGACATGCTAACTCCACATGCAGAAAGTGGGGATGGGATTCCAACCCACAACCCTGGAGGTGTGAGGTAAATACCATGTCTTAGTACCAGTTAAAGTTGATGGCAAGCTTCACCACCAGTGCCCCACGTCAAACTGGCTTTCTAAGCCGGTGGCCCATGTCACCTCATGGGTTGACCGGCACTGCCATACCTATTATAATGATTATTATATCGTTACCCAATCTGAGTGGCAATTTCTTTATTTTACACACACCCCTAATGTACACACCCTAAACAGAGACAATTCTGAATGTGATTTCCTTAACCTCAGAAACGGGGAACCTCGATATCACTAACGGATTTATACCTGCAACACCAGGCAAACTCGGATCACTAATAAAAGCAGGTTCTGTTAAGCAATTAAGGGCCGAGGTGGAATAAGAAGCAGCATGTGGTCACATGGTGTTTGATAGACCATTTAAAGGATCTGGCAGCAGGAGGTATCAGGGGTCAAAGGTCACACAAATGTCAGTATTGACAACTGAAAACACTAGCAATGGGTTTGGAAGGTACAGTATGCTCTTTTGTGTTTCAGCTGAACTCTCAGTCAATTAACCTTTTCCGCTCTGACCAATCGGTCGACGGAACAAATCGCACCGTATGAATCGCATTAAACAGCACGCAACGTGACACCGAGCATGGTAACAAAATTTGCGAGTTGCTATGCCGATTTGCAGGTCCATGGGGCAGCACCTCTGCTGGAGAGGAGGAGGCCTTTAACAATAAATACAGAGCTGATGGAGCTTTATTACCTAGTGATGTGCGACATAAGGAGCAGATTAAGATCATATTCAGGGCTGGGCCTGGAAACGTTAGAAGATCCATTGGAGAACAGCTAACAGCAGAGTGCTTTTAGCGCTGCTGTATGGGGCCTCGCATGCTGTCAACAAGAGCATGCAAGACGTAAAATAATAATACTAAAGAAATAAATCCATGAATAAATGAGAGAAGGACACAAACAAGGGTTCTCAGACGAACAGCAGCAAGGTTTGTGTGTGTATGGGGGGGGGGCAATCGAGGGGGAGGGGCCTGGGGGTGGGGGGGGGGGGGGGGGGGGGGGGGGGGGGGGGGGGGGGATGGGGGCAGGGTCACAGGTCCGCATGGATTTCTGGGTATCTGAGCCATGAGGTCAGAAGGCATAAGAGAAAAGGCCACTAGTCAGTGGTCTCTGAAAACAAACTCTGAAGTATTGAACAGTTCCCAGCAAATGCAAGAGATTAGCGTCCACAAACAATCCTGACAGCTCAAATTGAACTAAATCGATAGATGTTTTATTCTCAAAATCATATTAGCAGGAGAAGAAATAAATTACTTATTTTATTGCTTTTTTTGAACTTTTCAGTAATCCAAAAAAAGGGCCAAGCACCTAATCATACTGAGAGTATACTTTTAAACAGCATGCAAGTCTCAATTTCTCTAGCAGAGAGGTGAAACTTGGCGTACACTGGCCGCAGCGTTAAAAAAATGGAGAATGGATCGTTGCATGGACATTTTTTGGCAAAAGAAAATAGAAAATGCAAGTGTACAGTGTTGAGCGAAAGCTGGGATGATGTCATGGCTGCTCTTTAAAAGGGCGAGAGTTGCTAGTCATGCATGGAGAAGGTGCGGGAGAAAGCGTGACGTTGCACAAGGTGGTTACTTACAGGTAGTAAGTGTAGGAGTGATAGGTTCTTCTGCCGGGGGGGTGGAGGTAGGATTTAAGCAGTGGTGGGGGGGAAGGGGAATGGAATGAAGGAAAGAAAAGTAAAATATTAATGTCCGAAAAATATATAAATGAACGAAACCAGATATGGTGGCCTAAGCGAAGGTTATCCGTGAACGTGAGAGCAAGGCGGTTACTGGACTGGACACGAGTCATGTATGAGTGCCTGGGGGCGGGGAGGGGTAGGAGTCCCTCTACCACACAGATCAGCAGGCTGGGAGGGGTGTCGCATTACTAAAGGAGCTGCATTTCGGAATTAGTCATCGCGATGTATTACGGGCATCGACACAAAGGCTGACAGAGGTCCTTCACGGGTCTTAAAAGGGAACCTGGTGAAGGCAGTGGAGTTAAAAAGTGGACTTTAAAAACAGATTATTGCTGTCCACTTTTTTAACATATGTGGCTATTTTGCAAAACCCAGGTGCAGTAAAATGTCTCCTTCAGAGTAAATTCTTGGGGAGGGGGGGTGCAATCACAGAAACTAAGACTCACATTTAAACTCTTTCTTAAGGTCTCCTTTTCAAATTGGCAAATACATATTAAAGATTTATGAAGTATTACCATGTCAACATGTTTTTTGAAGACCACTGTGCATAATAAACATATTTTTTATGGGTACTGTGATATTTTCACGGAACATACACAGAAAACCATGTGTTAATGACTTGCTATTATCACCTTATCAAAGAATTTTTGGTTCAATAGAATGTGGGGAAAAAAAACCACACAGTCAGTTTTGGGCATTAAAGCAGTGTTTGATCTCTTAACAGCGTCCCTCTTTGTATCCGCTTCTCTGAATTATTTTAATTTCGGAAAAGTATACCATAGTAATCTACAGCAAACCAAAGACGAGTCGTCGTGTGTTATTGCAGTATTGAGCGTGTACAAAGCAGCCTGATATTTGAAGAGCGCTGGATCCGGAGAAGGGTGCGGGGAACCGGGCCTTTCCCTGACACGGGAACGCTGCTAAGCTAAACTAGCCTGCAGCCAATCGCCCAAGGCCTCTCCATGAAAAATGCACTTTCATCAATTTTTCTGTCTTATCTCATTTTTTCCCCCCACTCTCTTTCCCCTTCATAACACAAGCCCCCGAAAATAATTTTGTGCTCCTGTTGCCAGGTCATCGAAACTGAGAAGTCTGACAGAATCGTTTCTTTGTTGTGGTGGGTAAATTGGGTTGTTAGGCCCTTTAACGAGGCGTGTCGATGCAAACAAAATTTACTTGATGCTCAGTTCACAATGTGGCAATCCCGTTTCAATATTTTTATTCTTTACTGTTACTACATAGATACCCATAAACACTGATCTTGCAGAAAATGCAAAGGCTAATTGTAGCGACTGTTGATTATCTGGCCTGGATGTAACATATATTTTCCCAATCACCGATAGCGCAAGATTATTACCTTATGTACTCAGAATGACAATAAACTCATTAGCTGATAGTGCTGCAACAACTTCACTAGACAAGTATTTTATTTCTAAACTTGTTTTCGGGAATCTGAAACCCCCTGAGACGATAAACAAAGCATCCACAGATCATCTTTGTTGCCTTCAGCAAGAGGTCGATGAAGCTGAGCCATGTTAATACTGCATTCCCCAGCTCTTACGCCATCTTCTGGAAGACAGCTCTGCGCCGAATCTCAAAGCTGAGACATGCCGCTGCGTGTAAATAATTGGCCCGTTACTACTTTTTACAACTGGATCAGCTCTGGAATGCAAGCAATTATTTACACTGTGTAACTGTGGTAATGATTGGTGGAATTCCGTACACCTGACCCATAGGTATTCAAACAGGCTTTAAGCGAGTCGGCAGGATTTACTTACCTTTTCTTCATTACCAGCACCACACCAAGAAAAATGATGACGAAGAGCAGGGTGCCAGCGATGACCCCAGCTACCTTCACCGTGTGGTCGGTCTGCTTCTCAGGTTCGACGGCATCAGGCTTCCGGGTGGCTGCTCCTGCAACCGACAGGGGTTCAGGTAAAACGAGAAAAGGAATCTCCAAAGAAACTGCGATCACATGGAAATTACCTGAGGGTGACACAAAATATATGCTTGTGGTCAACTGCTTAGCCAAGCTGATTCCTACAAGTTTGACAAACAAGGAGATTTTTGGCCAGGATTTTATCAGAGGGTTTTACCTACTATCACCATAATTACGAACCTCTAATTTACACATACACACACAGACAGACAGACACACACACACACACACACACAAAGGTTTGCAATTATATCTTTGTGGGGACTCTCCATTAATTTTTTTGGGGAAAACTGTAATCCCAACATGAAGACCTTAACCCCTACCCAGCCCTAACCTTAACCATAAGTAACCAACAGATCTTTGTGAGGACCTGAAAAATGGTCATTGATTCCCACAATGTAATATAAACATAATCCACACACGCAAAAAACACACACACACACACAGCAAGTATAATTCCGTTAAGCAAACAGTTTGAGCATTCAGCAGAAATTAATCTGGGCCTGTCATCAAACTGCTCCGTTAAAGTCAGTCTCAACGGTGGTTTTATATCCCCATCTGTTTATGTAATTTCGCAATGTAGAACATTCTGGAAGCTATCAATGCAGATGAGACCTTGCTGGCGCATGCCAGCCAAAGATACCCATTCCAGAGGCACCGCAGTACTGCTGCAGCCAAGTTTCTCCGGCCCGTGAAACTCACGCTCAATCGGTGCCGGTCTCTGCGAGCCAGGATTCCCCCGCGGGCCAGAAGAGGTGCTGCGAATTACTTATTAACCGAAACTCACAGGCGAATCGGACTGGCTTCTGCTCCCTCTGGCCGTTTATAGATTTCCAGCGGCATGTGAGGACAAACAGGCATCTCCTTCCAGAGGGTTACCGAATACCCCACCTGCCATCATACCGACGTCAAGCAAACATCAAGAGCACATTTATCTCATCTCTCCTTTTTGACCTTTAACAAAACATTTTTTCTCCTTCTGTCCCTATAAATTAAGGTGGGACAAAGCACAATTTATTAACTCGCTACGTGGTTCTTTTCAATTTTTATCCCATTGTAAGACAAAATGTATTTCATTTCCTTAAAAATTAAAATCTGGGTCACACACAGAGGGGCAACAGCGAGAGACGCCTCCATCTGAGCATTTATTCACGACGTAGTCAGCAGTGGGGATCGCGTGTCGTAGCGTCTGTTCAAGCGCGATAACCACCATCTAGAGCTTGGCTAAATGCTTCCTTGAAAAGGGCCTCGAACCTCCTGCGTCTGACATAATGTGACGGCATGTCAACGAGCTGGCCAATGAAATATCCACTGCCCCCTCCCCCACGCTAAATGAGCTTTTGATGAAAAATAGTCTGGACACGCTGCTCAATTTGTCCAGCAGAATCTATTGCACCCGCCTGCACGTGACAGCATCCATTGCAATGCCTCTTCCCCGGTATCGTTACCGTGGTGACAGATGTTGCCGGGTACCCATCTCCGTTTCAAAAAAAGTTGCATTTCACTGCTGTTGACACGTGTAAGTGCTGAGGGGTGACCCGCGGGGATATATAAAAGCCCCCTGGTGGGAAATGAATTCAGCCCAGAGTGCTGAACACGCACGCTGGACTTTGACGATCACGGAAAAACAAGCGACCTTCCGACTTTGACTGAGGGTGGGGAACGGGAAAACTGGCAGTGACAACAAAGACCAAATCAACACTTCCTGTCTGGGGGAACATTCTGGATGCTTTGAAAACTATCATCGGATGGTTGGGAGGGATATACTGTGTATCTGGTAGTTTTCTATAATTATACAGAAAGTATGTATGGCATTCTGGATACTTTGTGAAACTTTCATCACAAGGAGTGAATACACCATATATCTGGTACTATTCTAGAATGACAGAGAGTATTTACTATTTTCATTCCTTTTTTAAAAAAAATCAGTCATTACTGGAGAAACGATACCCTGAAATATCATAGGAACATTTCGCTAACCACAGTATTACATTTTTCCTGATTAAAGTGTTATGTAATTATGTGTTATTGTGAAGGGCAGCAAATGCCTGAAGATACATTTAAAAGTAAACTTGAGCTTTTAATTGGATAAGAAAGTTAAGCAGAACAATAATGAGGGTGCAGAAAACAAGATGTGGGAAAAGTCTATGAGTATCATCTGCGTTTTTTTTCTGCTAAGAATGCCGTGTGATGAAATGAAGTTAATTATGAGCATTACTCAACAATGTGGTATCCATAGAAATGAAATTTTATGCACTGCATACTGAATTTGTATGCCTTTCATCCTGTGACATAAGCTAGGAGGCAATTCTGCTGCAGTTTATGCTTGAAGTCCATGCAGAGAGAATTTTATGCACTGAAAATCGCTTTTGTCTTCCTGATATCGATGTCGGTGGCTGCCCTGTGTAATCCTGTTTTCCATCTATCTACTTGCTTAGTGGTGAAGCTGAAGCTGACGCATTGTGATGCTTCTTCTAAGAGGCCAGCTGCCCCCAGAACTCGACAATTTAATTCTGAGCTTCCCCGAGAATTTTTTTTTCTTCCTCACATTTATTTATTTATTTATTTTACATAAAGGTGAACAATAGTCTAGATAATATTACAAATAGTCTAAATACTGACTCAGAATCACCAACCAGTACAAAAACAACATAATTGTTGTTTGGAGTAAATTGCTATTACAGCAAAATAAATAAACAACATAAAAAATAATACAGGTTTTGGCAGCATAATTCCTGTTTATTTTTTTAATTATTTTTGGAATTTCCATTTAATATCACGCTGGGAGAAACAGGGCCTATTTAAAAGCATGTAGGAAGAGATTCGAACCCTTGTAAGTAGGAAGTAGCAGGGATTGAGGTTACTCCCGGGGCCTCCCAGCTGCCATGTGGAGGAGCTCAGCTTCTGCCCCCCCCCCCCCCATATGCACACTCCACTCCTATTTCCTACACAACGGACGCCTCAAGGTGAACAGCGAGAGCTGAACGTGTGCTTGAGTCACAGAGTGTCACATCTGCTGTTTCTGGAGGCCAGATAAGGAGATCCGTCCCGGGTGGCTACAGCTGGCCCTTCGCTTGATAGCTGGGATGCCCATGCTGCTAATCGAATTTAACCGTGCTTTCCGAAAATTTGGGGTGTGTGTGGGGGGGGGGGGGGGGGGGGGGGGGGGGGGGGGGGGGGGATGGGGGCAGGGTCACAGGTCCGCATGGATTTCTGGGTATCTGAGCCATGAGGTCAGAAGGCATAAGAGAAAAGGCCACTAGTCAGTGGTCTCTGAAAACAAACTCTGAAGTATTGAACAGTTCCCAGCAAATGCAAGAGATTAGCGTCCACAAACAATCCTGACAGCTCAAATTGAACTAAATCGATAGATGTTTTATTCTCAAAATCATATTAGCAGGAGAAGAAATAAATTACTTATTTTATTGCTTTTTTTGAACTTTTCAGTAATCCAAAAAAAGGGCCAAGCACCTAATCATACTGAGAGTATACTTTTAAACAGCATGCAAGTCTCAATTTCTCTAGCAGAGAGGTGAAACTTGGCGTACACTGGCCGCAGCGTTAAAAAAATGGAGAATGGATCGTTGCATGGACATTTTTTGGCAAAAGAAAATAGAAAATGCAAGTGTACAGTGTTGAGCGAAAGCTGGGATGATGTCATGGCTGCTCTTTAAAAGGGCGAGAGTTGCTAGTCATGCATGGAGAAGGTGCGGGAGAAAGCGTGACGTTGCACAAGGTGGTTACTTACAGGTAGTAAGTGTAGGAGTGATAGGTTCTTCTGCCGGGGGGGTGGAGGTAGGATTTAAGCAGTGGTGGGGGGGAAGGGGAATGGAATGAAGGAAAGAAAAGTAAAATATTAATGTCCGAAAAATATATAAATGAACGAAACCAGATATGGTGGCCTAAGCGAAGGTTATCCGTGAACGTGAGAGCAAGGCGGTTACTGGACTGGACACGAGTCATGTATGAGTGCCTGGGGGCGGGGAGGGGTAGGAGTCCCTCTACCACACAGATCAGCAGGCTGGGAGGGGTGTCGCATTACTAAAGGAGCTGCATTTCGGAATTAGTCATCGCGATGTATTACGGGCATCGACACAAAGGCTGACAGAGGTCCTTCACGGGTCTTAAAAGGGAACCTGGTGAAGGCAGTGGAGTTAAAAAGTGGACTTTAAAAACAGATTATTGCTGTCCACTTTTTTAACATATGTGGCTATTTTGCAAAACCCAGGTGCAGTAAAATGTCTCCTTCAGAGTAAATTCTTGGGGAGGGGGGGTGCAATCACAGAAACTAAGACTCACATTTAAACTCTTTCTTAAGGTCTCCTTTTCAAATTGGCAAATACATATTAAAGATTTATGAAGTATTACCATGTCAACATGTTTTTTGAAGACCACTGTGCATAATAAACATATTTTTTATGGGTACTGTGATATTTTCACGGAACATACACAGAAAACCATGTGTTAATGACTTGCTATTATCACCTTATCAAAGAATTTTTGGTTCAATAGAATGTGGGGAAAAAAAACCACACAGTCAGTTTTGGGCATTAAAGCAGTGTTTGATCTCTTAACAGCGTCCCTCTTTGTATCCGCTTCTCTGAATTATTTTAATTTCGGAAAAGTATACCATAGTAATCTACAGCAAACCAAAGACGAGTCGTCGTGTGTTATTGCAGTATTGAGCGTGTACAAAGCAGCCTGATATTTGAAGAGCGCTGGATCCGGAGAAGGGTGCGGGGAACCGGGCCTTTCCCTGACACGGGAACGCTGCTAAGCTAAACTAGCCTGCAGCCAATCGCCCAAGGCCTCTCCATGAAAAATGCACTTTCATCAATTTTTCTGTCTTATCTCATTTTTTCCCCCCACTCTCTTTCCCCTTCATAACACAAGCCCCCGAAAATAATTTTGTGCTCCTGTTGCCAGGTCATCGAAACTGAGAAGTCTGACAGAATCGTTTCTTTGTTGTGGTGGGTAAATTGGGTTGTTAGGCCCTTTAACGAGGCGTGTCGATGCAAACAAAATTTACTTGATGCTCAGTTCACAATGTGGCAATCCCGTTTCAATATTTTTATTCTTTACTGTTACTACATAGATACCCATAAACACTGATCTTGCAGAAAATGCAAAGGCTAATTGTAGCGACTGTTGATTATCTGGCCTGGATGTAACATATATTTTCCCAATCACCGATAGCGCAAGATTATTACCTTATGTACTCAGAATGACAATAAACTCATTAGCTGATAGTGCTGCAACAACTTCACTAGACAAGTATTTTATTTCTAAACTTGTTTTCGGGAATCTGAAACCCCCTGAGACGATAAACAAAGCATCCACAGATCATCTTTGTTGCCTTCAGCAAGAGGTCGATGAAGCTGAGCCATGTTAATACTGCATTCCCC